CAGCACTGCTGGCTGGGGAATTCTGGGAGGTGAAGTCCACACATCTTAAAGTGGCCAACATTGAGAAACACTGCCTTAGATAATTATCTTGCTGCTACCCTAATCTAAGGACTGGAATCTCTATACTTTTAGGAGCAATTGGCTCACTGTGTGTACTTATGCAGCTTGCTGAGTTGTTACAATGCAACTGAAAGGAACCCCCAAAACATAGAAATACCTTCTAAACTATTTGAATGTTAGGTGGCCAACAGTGCTGCTTCTGTGTCTTTTTCTGACTCTCACACTGATTGTATTCTTTTCTCTCTCTCTCTTTTTTTTGTAGAGCTTATTGTCCTGCAGGCTGCAAGGGAGTGACGGGTGACATCTGGGGAAACCTGAACCAAGGATACCGAGATGTGAGTCGCTCAGTGTTGATCATGCATTCAAATGTGCTATTGTTCAGAAAGTGGAGGCTTCAGAAGGATGTTTTCCTGAGGACATGGAACTTACAAAGCCTATCTAATTGCAAGATTATTTCCGTTTCCAGTTCAAGAGAAACTCTTCTTGGGGCAACCAAGTTCATCCTGCTTTGTGAGCAGTCTTACAGTGAGCTGACCGTGGTCCTGACTTTGTTGGCCTTGATTTTGGTTAATCTTGACTTATATACCCGTATATGTTTCAATTTAATGATATGGGTTTCAAACTGGGACATGGGGAGGAGAGTTAAAATAGAGTCCATTCCCCAAAGTGTAACCGTTTACAGATGGTCTGATTAATACCTTCCAGTTAATGAACTAAAAGATACATTGAATGGATGTGGCTAATAAATCACTGCAGAAGATCTAATCAATTACTTAAAAGAATAAGATTGTTTCAGCTGGGGGCCGACATTTGTGAAGTTCTAACCCAAGTGCAAGTTGCGTGTCTCATAAATCCAGGCCTTCAAATCAGCTCTAAATGCTATTCATTTCAAGTAACTTTCTCTTAGAGCAGTTATCAGGTACTGCTATTTTAAATGTATTTAAATTGCCTGTGATTATATTTACTTGATATTAGACTCTTCTTAAAGATGCTTTATTCTAGTTTATGTTATCTGAATACGGTTAATGCTACTTTTTACATACTGGAAGCCATTGTGTGAGATCAGAATCGTAAAAGGATTAGATCTCTAATTAAGAATAAATATTTTATTTGTATGGCCCACCTTTTAACCAAAGTATAGAGGGCAGAGTAGAAAAGCATCAACATGATACAAGGCAAGAAAAAAAGTTTGCAACAAATCATAGCAAAAACCCAGAGCATTTTAAAACAGCAGCAAAATATGTACTCAGGTCACACAAAAGCCCATTTAATTATTAGTACGATTATTTTTAATTATATATTTATATTTCTCTAAGGAGGGAGTTTGGAATCTGGCCAATCCGTTCCATAGGCAGAATTGGTTGCTCGGATCAACCCTTCAGCTCTTTCACAAATGTGAATTAACTGAGCTTAAGAAACTGTTATGAAGAGCAGAATTGTTCTCATGGCGCTCTTTCCACTTGATTTCTGTTGCCTGGAGATTTGTCACAATCGTCCCCTTTTATTTACTGCCCCCCAGACATCTGTTCTCTGCAAAGCAGCTGTCCATGCTGGTGTGATCTTAGACGAGCAGGGAGGACCAATTGTGGTATCACAAGAGAAAGGAGTAACTCTGTACAAATCCAGTTTTGCCAACGGACTGCATTCAAAAAGGTGAGCACCCAACTGAATTGTGAAGCAGCCTCCAACTACCATGAAATGAGAGGTTCCTTTTTGTGATCAGCTGATAATTTGCAGTTTTGTTCCGGATGTATTAAAGTAATCCTTATTTTGCTATCTTCCGTTATTTCTCATAAAAATGAAAATTCTAGTGGATGGCAGAGTCAAATCTCATCCTGTGCCAACATCTGCCTTGACATTTCTCAGATGGTTTCCACTTCTGAGAAAAAGGCTTCTCTGTTCCTACTTTGTTCTCAGATTGAGACTTCTTTTCCATCTTAGCAATGTTTTTGAACTTAATTGATAGAGATGGTAAAAGTTGCCACTGTGGGTAGTTTTCTGTATCTTTCCATTATCCTTCAGTCTGCCTGGCCGGCCTAATCTGAAAAAAATGTATAATGGGGAGGTTTCCTTGAAATTGAATGGAAATGTGGGAAGCTGCAGACCGTAGAGAGATGATGGTACAGTGACAGAGGACATTAATACCCACTCCTTGGTCACCTTGTATAAAACCACCATGCCCCATCCAGGAGAATTTCACCCAAAATTCTCTTATCCCCTGAAAGCTATTTAGAAAGCCCATTCTTGTTCATGACATTTATGAGGAAAAAATTGAGATCCAGATTTAGGATTAGAACTCACATCATACTTATGTGGCAAGTATTGTGGCTTGTTGCTGTGCTAGAGACACATTACTTCTGATAACATTTTTTTAAAAAATTCAGAATCAGTTGCAGGAGGATCTTCAAAATTGCAGTTGGCCCATTTGATGGTGGGAGAGAGGGAAACAGACTCAGCACAAGTGTCTGAGCTTTGCCCCTATGAAGCTATTAGCAGATTCTGAGGTAGGAGGATTAAAATCAGGAAAATATCAGAGGAAAGGATGGAACATCTGCTCATAAGTGCCACACCTTCAATCAAAACACAACTGTTAAACCAAATAAGAAGATTTGGACTTGGATTCCAGAAGTCAGTCTGTTTTATTGCCAAGGGACTCAACCCTATCCATTTATGTTTGTTTCATTTTGAACAGGGGATCATTATCAGAAAAGCGCCTTATCTTTCACAAAGGTAAGTCCTTCAACCATATCCATTTCTTTGCCTTCCTTCCTTGGAAAAACTTCTACCTCCTGTCTCCAACAATCAAAATTGCAAAATAATCTTTTAAAACATCATACAGTAAACTGATGCTATTAAAGCAGCAAAATATCTGTTGAAATCAATAACTGGGTTTCTTCTGAAAAACAAGCAATCAGGGAGCGGTACTATAATATGAGTGCTGTATTAAAAAGACTCTGCTCATGGATGGCAATGGGGCAGAAAGCTACTGGATCTTGGATATGGATAAAAAATATCGGCTATATTTTAATGATGTTAATTCCAGTCCATTTAGGGGACTCTTCCCAAGCTAGAACACTCCAGCTGTCTTGAACTAAACCCCAGACAGCATACCAGGGAGTTATAATCCAACATTTCTGGAGAAATCCTGATTGGGGAGGTCTGATTTAGGGCTCAAAGATCCAGGAAGCACTTCAGGTCAGTGTTAGAAACAACGTAGTAACCAATGAAAATGATCCAAAAATCAAGTGATAGGGTCAGATCCATAGACTCCACTTAAACTTTGGCAGTTTCATTTTGTACCATTTGAGTTTCCCAGGCTGTACTCAAAGTCAGGCATCTAGAAAACAAATTGCAGTGGTTCTTTCTGGAAGCATCAAAGCCAGAGCTGCACATCCGGAAAGCCTTTGACTCCTCCAGTCCTTTAAAATGTGTCACTCAATTTGTTACGACAGAAGGGGAAATGATTAAATGCATGACTGGATCTTAGTAATGATATTTTAAATGAATTTTAAAATGTGTATTCTCCTTCGTAAGTGGTGCTTGTACTAAAGTCTGTCTGCAGTAATGCCTATGGATCCTATTGCATGATGCAAAAGACAATAGCAATATTATACTAAAGACTGGAATATTTCCTTAAATTATTATTGACATGTCAACACTGCTTTGTGGCTGCCAGCTGGCTTCCACGTGCACTTCAAGGTGCTGGCTGTTACCTTTAAAGCCCTTCTCAACCTAGGACCTGGTTACCTGAGGGGCCACCTTTCTCCCATTGTTTCTGCCCACCCAGTACGTTTGGGCCGAGTTGGTGAACTCCAGGTCCCTTCTATTAAATGTTGTCACCTTACGGGACATAGGAAGTGTGCCTTCTCTGTTGCAGCCTCTGCCTTGGACTGTTGTACGCCACCCAGAGTCACTTTTTGTGAGATGGGCGGCCACGTAAATTTGATAAATAAATAAATTAATTAATCAATCAATTAATTAATTAATTACATTTAAGCATGAATGAAATGGAAATCTAGTGTTTTCTAGTTTTCGTCCTGGCCTCACTTGCTTATTTCTTAGAGTGGTCCCCAAACTTGTCATCTGTGCCTCAGAGTTGTGAAGCTATTAACTTTGGACACAAAGGAAACAAAAGTTACACGTGTTTCATCTCTATTTCCACCTTTTTTCACTGCAACAAGATTGTAGTGATTAGGGAGTTGGGCTTTGGCCAGGGAAGCTCAGGTTCAAATCCCTGCTCAACCATGGAGCTCACTGGGTGATTGCAGCCAATTTCTCTTAACCCAGCTCACCTCCTACTCAAATCTTCTTGAACTTTCAGAGAAAAGATGGTATAAAAATGCAATACTAAATAAGTAATTGGAGGAACATGCTTCATACATGAGTGAAATGGGTGTGAGCCGGCTCACAAAAGGGTTTGCAAATTTAGTCCCTTCTGCCTGTTACTGTACTTTTGGATTGGCACAGCTACCTCTCTCTACTTCAGTATCTTTCATGAAAAATTGAGTTGTACAACAATAAAAGTCATGATTAGCTGGTAAGGTAACTGTGAGGCTGTATGAAGAACCTAATTTTCTATGCTTCCTTTTTTCCCCAGATTGTTCCAGTGCTCTGGAAGTAGCTAACTTCAACGCTTCATCCTACTGGCATGAACAGAGTGTCCTGGGGGACCATCAAGCTTGGGCAGCTGAGCGAGCTGCTTTTGCTAGTGATGGTTTGTCTTGGGCAGCAGATCACAGCTCTGCAAATGAGTGGCTGGAAATAGATTTGGGTGGAAAGAAGAACATCACAGGTCAGTAAGTATCATCAGACTTTTCCTTTGTCAAAAAAATGAAGGTTTGGGGCAACTGGGGAAGCAGTGACATCATGCTAGAAAACATGGGTGGAGATTTCCTCATACTCTCCTGCTGTTAAAACTTGGAGATCATCAATTAACTTAATAATTGTCCTGTGAAACTGCTGTAAGATATGTTGTTGTTGTTCAGTCATTAAGTCGTGTCCGACTCTTCGTGACCCCATGAACCACATCATGCCAGGCCTTCCTGTCCTTCACT